AAGAGTAGCCGGAAGGGATAAAGGGTGGAAACATTTAACAGACAAAAAATTATAAGGTTTTTTATTGAAAGGACAAAAAGATCAGTAATTTTTACTTTATAAAAATTAAGATAAAAATAAACATGCAATTTTTTAAAGTAATTAAAAATAATTATTATAAACTACTTCATGAGCTGTGTGGTCTTTGACTAGATTTGCCTCCAAACTACAAAATATAAATTACCAGGGAACCAGCAGTTAGCGTAATGGCTATGTCGCTGGACTCCCACGTAGTAGACCGCGATTCATGTCCTGGACCCGGTGGCTTAAAACTCATGCCAGGCACGTGTGCGTGCGTGCCCAAGATCCCAAGAGGAGAATGGAGGAGAAGGGATTGCGGCGTGACCATCCCCCCTGGGGGGTGATTTCTCGCTTTCTGTCTCTCTGTCTCTGTCTGGCGAGCGCACGCGCCAAAACCTCACCAAAAATATAAATAAATAAATAAATTACCATAGTAATAATTTGTTTTAATTTTCAAGGGACATTTATACTTTCTGTAGAGAGACAGAAAGAGAGAGAGAGAAAGTGAGAAAGCATTCCCCACGTGGAATGATCATACCACAATCCCTTTTCCTCCATCTTCTTTTCCTTTCAGGATTTTGGGCACACGTTGAATTATACTTGACATGTTTCTCAAGCTCCTGTGTCCAGGCCTGAACAGTGCAGACAGCCATGTGCAATCCAGCTGCCTTACTCACCATGCCATGGACTGAACCAGTAATAGTATTTCTTTCTTTTTCTTTTTCTTTTCCTTTTTTTTTTTTAAAGTTTTTATCATAAGGCACATGCACTTGCCAGAGAGAGACAGACTGAGACAGCAGATGGGAAAGTGAAAAATCTTCCTCCAGGGGGTCTGGCCACACCATAATCCCTTCTCCTCCATTCGCCTCCTAGAATTTGGGGCATGCTCACACACTTGCTTGGACTGATTTTTATGTTGCCAGGTCTGGGACTTGAACCACAGTTGGCCATGTGGTAGTCTAACACTGTAACCACTATTCCAACTGCTGGCCCCCAGTAGTAGCTTTTAATAAAATATTTTATTCAACAGTGGAGTGGTAGTAGAAAGATTGATCAAAGTCATTGTATGTAATAGACCTTTTCTTCTTATGATTCATCCGTTCTCTTAATGCTGATTATAGAAAACTTCCTGAATCTGTAATACACTTCCTAAATCTGTATGCTGCAGTGACACTATAAATGATAATAACCATACATCAGTAAAGCCAAAGTATAGAGATATGGAATGTTCCTGTTATCTAGTTTTCTTAAACTAGCATTCCTGAACTTCTGTCGAGACGAGACAAAACATGTGTCTCACAAAAGTAGTGAGATGTAGGTTTGTACATCTTATCTCAGTGATGTGAATGTTACATAGCAATAGACTCTTATGGAGTGAAAGACTGAGAAACGATTTAAGGAATCAACTTAAATTGCAAATAAAATTCTGTCATTCAGAAAATAAATATGTATGCTATGTAAAATTCAGAATTATCAATTTTCCAACCCAGTAAAATAAGTCTTCAAGTGTTAGGATTTTATGATTCTGGAAAATATATTGGTTGTCCTTATA